TAAATTATGTATAGAGATTTAACATTTTCTGAGTTGAAAGGATAATATGACTAAGCATTCTCTTCTGCTTTGGGAAACATGTCATGAACTTTGCCCCTAGAGGCAATCAAGTTTTAATGCAGAAACAATGTGTAGATAATAATAACAATAAAAGATAAACACCCTGACCCTCATAAAAGTCTACCTGGGAAACAACAAAGTCCACAGAGTCAGCTATAAATGGTTCATGAGGGCCATCACGAATTCCTGTCAAGATGTATCGCTTCAGCAAAAAAGAAGGGGTCCAACTAACACTGCATGAAAGCATATCACAACTTCATGGGTCAATATCATATAATTTTTTATTTTTGCAGTTAGCAACATAGATCACAAAAGAAAAAATGCATGACAGAATAAAGAACAAATGGAAGATGAAATCTCTTTTTTTTTTTTTTTTTAAATGATCTTATTTTTGTTACTTATATGTCCAAGAGACTAATGTATTTATCCATTGTTACCATAGTGGTTATTATGTCTTCAAAGTAAATTGAAAGTTAAATTGCATTCACACCCTACAAAATGGGATATGATAGGGAGTTGTATGCTGCCAGACAGATGAATTGCATTGCTACAAAGAAGTAGACTAAGAAAAAAAAATCAATTTGATGATATCCAGCTATAGTTATTTTGAAGCAATTTTAAGACATACACAGGAGCCCATGGCATTGCAGCGGCAAAACTCCGTGTCTCCAAAAAGGTATTTGAGAGAATCAATGATCGAACACGTCTTGGACGATGCTGAGCAAAAAGTTGTGCTAGGAAGCCTCCAAGGGATGTACCATAGAGATGTATCTGTAAGAGATTCATTAATCATCTGCTAAACAAATATTCAAGGAACTATCTACCACAGATGCACACAAAAGGGGGAAAAAAGGCTGCAGTATGGATAAGGCAGAAAATAAATCTTACATGATGAACACTGATAGCATCTAAAAACTTTTCAAAAGATTGAATCCACTCATGATGATTCCATGCACGTGGAATATCGACTGAAATAACTCGGTAACCCTGAACATTTGTAGAAGTGTATGCTATTGGATTAAAATCAAACAAACGTCATGGCAACTGAAATAATTCATGGTGGCAATTGAAATAATTCATGGTAGCAATACCATCAACTAAGTTTAATAAAATCACAACCCAAGTGGCAAAGTTGAGCACCAATTGCCAAATGAGAAATATAATTTTACTACATGACAACCTTCAAAGTAGTTGCAATTAGCATATGGATAGGTTTTGGCCCTTGTTTTGTCTAGATATAAAAGGAACTGCTTTGATAATTTTTTTTTAACACCTATCATATAGGCAATATGATTCGTACGTGGAATCTGTATTAACATAGAAGATACTGAATGAAACAAAGATATGTATATATATAGGGTAGGGTTCCACTTACACACAAGTCTTATACACCACACTTGCACAAAATCTTAACTATTCATTTCTCCACTTTCAATGGTTGAGATTTATTCACTTTTTATCATATTTATTAAAGATAATTACCTTTTTCATCAAAAAAGTTGTGATAAATCTCAACCATTGAAGGTGGAGAAATGAATAGTCAAGATTTTGTCTAAGTGTGGTGTATAAGACTTGTGTGTAAGTGGATCCCTTTGTGTGTGAGTGTATCCTACCATATATATATATATATATATATAAACCTCTTTGGTAGGTGTTTTATACAAGATCAGAATCGATGTTGTCAAAAACTCAACATACTACCTTCATTGACAATAACATGATCTGTTTGTAATAGACGTCTGCTGTCCCTGCTGTTCCTGGAAGACAAATGAGTGGAGGAACCACTTTGGGACCAAAATCATAATATCGCCACTGCTTTGTACCAATCTATCAGAGGAAGAAGGAAGTTTAAATCTAAGATCCATCATAATTGCCAAGCAAGTCAAAGGAAAATCTCTCTATCTTCCCTTGGTAATTCACATATCAAGCCTTGCTTCAAAAAGGACTACCAAGCAAAAGCCAGAACCCCATGCCCCATGGTATGGTAAACTATCCCAGAGTTTTTAATGAAAACCTATGTGCTTGATAATATATAAAAACAAAACCAGAGCAATTAGAATTTGAGATCCAGTTATTTTAAATCCAATCAAACAACAGTCTGCTACCCTTTTAAAGCTTCCATTTCATAAAAATGACAATGGTGAAGATTCAGTATTGGAATAGAAGAGAACTAAATGACAGTGGAGTGTACTATTTGACTGCACACCGCACACAACATCAGACATATCTAAAATCAAGTGGAGAACTCATAAATTCAGCTCACAGGAGTAGAATCAGGACATACCTATGTCTGAATCCATAAAATTGAGATCATACACAAAAAGGGTAAAAAAAAAAAAAAAAAACTAGAGTGCTTCCTCAGAAACAACTAAGGATGAGGCTTGGCTACTATTATGAGATTCATGACAACAAGCTCAGCAAAATTCAGCAGATAAAGATGCTAACTTCATCAATAACTAATAACTAGAAGCACTCAGCAAAATTCAGCAGATAAAGATGCTAACTTCATCAATAACTAATAACTAGAAGCATAAATAAGGGCATGGTAGCTGATTAGAACAATAAAAGCCAATCAGAAACGGCAGTAAGCTAGGGGTAAAAGACAAGATTAAGCAAATGATGAACACATCAACTACAACATTAAAAAACCTCTTTTCAGACTCTTAAAAGGCAAACAATTGAGTCATGAATAACAGGCTTTAGCTTAAACAAAAACAAACCCAGTAAGAAAAGCAAGGTAATTGATCCACCCCTGATAAACAAAATGGAAAATTTTCGAAAAGGGAATCAAAATCAACCCGGAGAGGTACTGAAATCTTACAGGGATTCTGTGAAGAGGGACTTGAGACTTGAAGTGTATGTAATCACCTGGCGGCGAGAAGACAGCTTTCATTGCTAATTGGAGTGACTACACAAAGTACACATTCATCCGATTCCAGCTCTCAACTTTCAAGGAATCTTTTTGGTTCATCGATCCAAAACCCAACCCTCTATTTGCCACTGTGTATTGCCATTATTATTTTTGGGCTTTTGTAAGCTGTGGGCTGGAATGGTATATTTTCTCGAAGATTACAAGTAAACTTTATATTTTAATATAAAAGCCTATAGGTGATTTTAATTAAATTTTAATAAAATTAAAATTTATGTTTATATTTTTTATTAAAAAACATAAAATAAATATATTTTAATTTGTATAGTAGATGTTAAAAATTTTATTTTCTTTTTGTTAAAGTTTTTTTTTTTAATTTTTAAACAAAGAGAAATTTGGAGGAAATGGAAAATAGGGAACTGCTATGGCAACTTGAACTCTGACCGAAATCAAAAGTTAGGCGCACTCAAACTAATACAGTCAAAGCTGCGGGGAAAAGGGAGAATAGGGGGTTGCTATTGCAACTTGAACTTTGATCGATATTAAGAGTTAGGCGCATCTAAACTAAAATAACCAAAACTACGGGTGCTTTTGTTAAAGTTTTTATTTACACTCTAAATATAATTTTTTTTATAATTAACACATTTTAGAATTTTTATGGTTATTACCCTTTAAAGTTTAAAATTGATAAAAAAATTCAAAAATTAATTATCTAATTCTTTATTTACATCTTAATTTTATCTTATCGATAATTTAAATTTTTTATAAACTTTAAATTATAAAAAAATTAATCAAAATAAAAATTATAAAAAATATTACTTATAAAAGTTAATAATGTTTAAAATATAAATAAGACATTTAATCTTATTTATTTATTTGTTGTTATTTCTAATTTTTTTTGTTAAACTTTTAATTTGGTTCCTCAATTTTCGTATAAAACTTTGATTTGGTCTATCAACTAAAAAAATCACTAATTTGATTCTAATATTTATTAATTTTGACTTTAAGTTGGTCATTCTATTAAAAAATGATTGATGTATTTGTTACTTAATAATAAAAAATTATTATTTAACAGTTACATACCACATTAATAATAAAATATATCATTTATTTTTATATAAAAGGACCAATTTAAGGCTAAATAAACAAACAATAAGAACTAAATAAAATTTTTTTTTTAATTTAGAGACCAAATCAAGAATTTATGCAATAATTGAAGGATTAAATTGAAAGTTTAACCACTTATTTTCAATTCTATTTTTTTGACGAGAAGATGAAACCCACAACGTGGCGTACAGTCAAGCAACGGTAACGTCTGCCAACTCCTCGTCAGGGTTACTTTAACGGTGCGCATTGCGCACTATTTTCTCGTTTACCCAGATCCCGGAAGTCCGGAACCTGGAGCCGCCGCCGACGGTGGTTTTCACCCATTTTTTTTCCTTCGCCACTCCTTAGAACGAGCTCTTCTGTGAACAAGAATACCATTTGATTGAAAAAGGATCAAAGTGGCACCTTTGTTTTTTTCGGTACATAAGTGCCACCTTTGTAACTTAAGAAACGAGAAGCTTAGATTTGAAATCTGGGGACTCAAGGCCCAACTTCTGTTCTTGCCTCAGACGCTGAAAACGCGACCTCATCTGACGATAATTGGCTGAAAAGGGAGCAACTTTGCCAGTGTAACACAACTCTGTTGATTCGAATTTTCTGCATTTGAGGGCGTTCTTGCATCTTGATTTAACGGTAATAATCTCCTTTAGAATCAGTCATGTTTCTCAAATTTCCTGATGTTATCAGAAAAATACAATCTTCAAAACTAGAAACTCTAAATCCATGCTTCGCATTGTTCAGATATTGTCATGTTGAGACAAAAGTGGGTTTTGATAGCTTAAACCCTACCCCTG